CCGCACCGGCCCCGCACCGGCCCCGCACCGGCCCCGCACCGGCCCCGGGAGCCGCAGCCGCAGCCGCAGCCGGAGCGGGCGCCTCCGCCGGCGGTGGGTGGGTGGGTGAGCTGGGGGTGGGGGAGCGCAGAGAGGCTGTGCGGGCGGGAGGAGGAGGAGGAGGAGGGGGAGAGGGGGGAGGAAGGCTGCCCCCGAGGCTGCGCTGGGGGCGGCGGCAGCGCCCCGAGCCACCCGCCCCGCGGGAGGAGAGTGGGGTCTCCCCAGCCGAGCCCTCCTGCAGCCTCAGGGCGGCCCTGCGGGAGGGTCCTGTCCCCATTTGCTGCCAGGTTCCTAGCAAAGTCCTCCCATGTCATCAGCCCCCCATAGCACCCACAGCACCGAAGCCCCAGCACTTACCAAGTGCCTTCCCTTATATCAACATATTCTGCGTTGGCAACACCAAGAAGTCCCAAGTGCTTTAATGGCACCTGTACCCCCAGATGTCCCTAAGCAAGAGGGCAGAGACCTGGCACTGCTCTGTGGGGAAGCGCTACCTTGCCCCCTCCTCCCTCCATCCATGGGGCTGGACACGCAGTTACCCACAGAAGCCACCCTGGGTGAGTAGCTCTGCGTCCTCAGGAGTGGTGTTTAGCCCACAGATTGCCTGAGCTCAGCTGAGCGTGCGTGGCCTGCACTGCCCAGGCAGCCTCGGTGGGACCATTGCTTTGCATTGGTGCAAATGACACGGAGGTGGCTACCTCTGCTGAGATGAGCACCCCGGCCTTTCCTGGAGCAGCAGCAGCGCCTGGGCAGCGGGCTCAGCCGCTGGAGCCCTCTCGGCACCAGCAGTGACCACTGCACACTGCACATGTCTCCAGTGTGCCGAGATCAGCAGCCACAGTGCCTTCCTCCCTAACGCACCCACCAGGGATGAACCTGTCCCCACAGTGAAGCCTGTGACGTAGCTGTGGCTGGAAGAGTCCGTGTACGTTACCCCTACCCATAAGTGTCCAGAGTCACGAGGTGTTTGAGGATGCAAGCTGATCGCTGCATGGGGCTGAGCAAGCCCCGGCTGCTGAGTGCCGTGCCCGGGGGCAGTGACAGCAGCCGAATGCGCGAGCCCTGGGGCAGCCTCCCTGGGCAGCTCCGTGTCACCGAGTGCCCCTGGATGCAGAAAGCAGGCCGGGCTACCAGGAGGCTTCATGCTGAAACCCGAAACAAAGACATCTCTGCAAAGGGGGAGGGAGGAGCTAAGGGGCGGGCTGGCGCGTGAAGACTTCTTTAGGCACACAGCAATGATCCAGTGGGAAAGCAAGGGAAGAAGAGTCTCAGCAAAAGTATTAGTGCGCTGTTGGAGACCAGAGTGGGGTCACAGATAAATCTATTTCCTAAAAGCGCAGTCAAGACAGCAAAAAAAAAAAAAAAACAGATAAGAGACTTAAATCTTAGGTACCATAGCACTGAAGCGGTCCGACGCCTAAATCAGGCTGGTAGCTCCCAGGCATTGCCACGTCCTCCCATGCTGGCCATCATCATCTTGCTTTAAACAGTCCATCCTGCTGCATCCCTGCTCCTATTGCCTGCATGGCTGGGTGAGGAGGGGGAAATGTGTGCTCTGCTGCACTCGCACTGTGCCTCAACACTCAGGTACACGTGCAAGGGTCTATGTTGCACCAGCTCTATTTGTATTTATAGTATTCCCCTCCTTTTGCCCTAGTCGTGATACACAGTGTTAGATGAGCCTGATCACGCATTCACTGCTTGGCTGTTTAAGCCTTTCCAGTTCCACATTCCCACCCGAGATTACAAAGACCTCCATTTAAGGCCAGTCACCAGAGCACGGCAAAGGAAACCCGATGCAAACCAGCCACGGCACCTACGGAGCTGCTTGCAGAGGGACCAAGACGCAGCCCGGGGCGCGAGCAGCGCTCACAGGTTGAACCCCCGGTGAGCCCCGAGGGGCCGGTCGCTGCTCCCAGGCCAGCCCCAGCCTGCCTGGCAGTGCGCGCGGCTCTCCCGGCCGGTCCGGAGAGCGCCGTGGCCATCCAAGATGCGGAAAGGCAGGGAGCAGCGACGCACCTCTCCTGCCCTTGCCAAACACCCGTCGAGGAGCTTGCTTTGATCTCGAGGCCTTCCGAGGAGTGGGGACTGCTGCAGAGATGAAAGCCCCGCGCCTGGGCTCTACTGCTGAGCACTGGTGTGTGGCCTGCAAGACTTCCCTCCCTTTGATACCAAACACAGGCTTGCCTGCCAAAGAAGGGTGTCAGTGTAAGTGTGCGACATGGGCTAGAGGGTAAAATTGTGTGCAAACAGCCACCCTGCAAGTCTGCTCACACCCCCTTAGGGCTGGAGGCTCCTTTCGCAGGGGGCAGAGCTGCTTCTTGGAGGACCTGCTTGGTGGACCTGCTGGGCTGCGTGCAATGGGACAGGGTCCCCAGCGCTTTGGTGGTGAAGCAGGCTCCGATGTGCCGGCCAGGTGAGGCAGCCGGGCGGCCTTGGGGGGCACCTGGGGAGGAGCGGGTGCTAAGTGGGTCTGCCTGGGGGAGCACCTTGCTGCTTTCAGCAACGGGGTGCTGCAGGGCTGGAACAGGTTGAGCAGGGCAAGAGGAGCTGCGTGGAAACGCTTCTCCAGAAACGGCAGGACTGCTGCTGGGGAGGCCCCTGGTTGGAGGTCACTGGGACCCACGAGGGAACCTGTGGCCTTTGGGCAAGGGGAGCTACGTGTCACGGGTGAGCACTGTCACACAGAGCAGGAGCCAAAGGCCTCCTGGGGCCAACCATGGGCTTTTGGGGCAACCGTCCTTCCACACCTGCTGAGCACCATGGGGAAAGCAAAACCCACAGGAAGAGGTGAAAATAAGAAAAGAATGGAAGGAAAGGGAATTTAGCTGGAAGCAGAAATTGTGCTGGGCTTTCCAATGGGGTGGGGGATGCCTTCTGCTCGAGCAGGCGCTCGGGAGCTTTTTGTAGCTTGCTGTGGGATGAGATGTGACACGCTGATGTCTCCCACGTGATCCAGCCATATCCTGCAATATGCTCTCCTGGGAGGTGTTGGTGCCTAACCAGTACTAAAGCACTGAAAGGCAAAGCTATGGAGAGCCTCCCCTCTGCAGCAGCAGCGCCAAGGATATTTTTTCTGTCCTTTTTATATATTTATGTGTATATGTGCATATTTATAAGTGTATATTTAAAGGCTAGCAGTATTCAAGAGGATTTTATGAAAGTCACAGTGAGTGCCTAAAATATTACCACACCTAACTTTCCCCACTATTGCAGACAAGTAGAGTGTCCTCAAAAATACCCCTACTGGGGGAAGGCAAAATTTCTTGAGGGCAGAACTCCAGATGAAACAAGATGATGACTCTATTTCTCAGGAGGAGGAAAAAAAATACATATATATATATATGGCTGAAAAAGAGACCAGAAGCTAAAATCCTAATTATACCCTGCAGTAAGCTGTCAGAAACTGGCAGCAGTGGGAGGCAGGAGAGAAGGCAAAGCTGATCTCGGTGAGTTTGAATTAGTGTAATCTGCTCTAACCATACTTAAAATGCATATTGTGTGGGATGGGAAAGCTCTGGGATTCTCTGACGCACGCTTTCCACCACAGTTATTTTAATCTGTTGAGCTCCCAGGATGGAGGTTATCAGTGGGTGCAGAGCAGTCTCACCTGGCCAGCGCTGAAATCCAGAGACACCTCAGTGTGTTCACCTCTGAGCATAAAGTCTTTATAACTAGGCTGCTGATAAGCATCCTGATTTGGGGAATTTTTGTATTCTTCAGACGTGTTTAATAATAAACAGATCTCAGCTCACAGGGCTGTTACTGATGTAAAATGCATTTTTTTCATACTTAATGTTTTGGGGCAGAGGTTTGGGGAATGTTGAGGCTTTAGGAGTTGTGGTTAGTACGTTGTGTTTATTTAGCATTGTGTGTATTGGTACTGAGCTTATATTCGTGATAATATCTTAGAATATCTTAGCTGAGCTGACTGAAAGGAATTTATCTTTTTAATTAATGAGCTAGGGAGATAAATGTTTTTGTGATGCAACCACTCGGCTCCTGGTTTTGATCCTGCTG